ACAAGAGACAGTGCCAGTACAAACATCATCATATCTGCCGGAAGACGTCGACTGCTGAACATAGGCCTCCCAAAGATTGCCAGATTAGCCGATCGGACGCAACGTGCATTCGTCGGTTACCCGCCGTCCTTACCAGGTCATATATTAAATAGTATGCAAATGTAGTAATACAATGTCAATTAGACTACGACAATTCCAATTCCAATTTCTTTAAAGTGGCTCCATCGATTTTCACGATGATATGTGGGTAATGGGTACCACAAACTCGAATTTTTTTCCGAAACGTTTGTTCGTATTTTTATTACATCGAAAACCGAATTACAACGAAACCGTTGTTTTTTAGGATATATTGGATGTTTATAGCAAAGACACGATTAGGTTCGGTTAAGTTAGGTTTAAAAGAAAAAACATTTTCCTCTCAAAATTACTTTCGAGGTTATGAAAATTCGCGAAAATTCGAGAGTGACGCCACTCACTCACGTCACTCATCCCTCTATCGGAACACGTCTCTCCTGGGCACGACCTACCTTGGCAAATTTGGAAGTCCCTAAATAGGCTGCGGACCCGAGTCGGCCGACACGGGTGGGGTTACAGCTCGAAGAGCGCATGTCCGTGTGGTGTCTCTCCCCAGACAATGGCACATCTTTTGTCCTGCCCTGCGTGTCCCTACACCTGCTCACGCGAGGACCTGTACAACGCCGCTGATAATGCTATCTCAGTCGATAAGTACTGGTCCTCACAAATATAAACGTCAGAGTCGTCACGCCAAGAAGAAGATGAAAATTCGAGCAAACTTTATTTCAGGAGAATGTCATTTTGGAGTACTGATAGGTAACCATGATTCTGCCAATGTCAGGTTTGGAAAAGAAACTTTTACTTTGGTGTGACTATGTGGGGTAGGAAAGCCGGAGACCCGTTGAGTCACTACCGCAATAATAGGAATGTCACAAATTAATTTCGCCAAGAATGTAAATCCTTTGATCAACTTAAACTTTTGTATCTATGGCTCCGTCGTTTTGCGCGACGATTTCGCCAACGTCAGGGTTAAAAGACATGTAGTGCGGTGGTGAGATAGATTGCCGGTTATTAAAATACTTAGGCGGTTATTATGCACATTGACGGTTACATATATATATATATATTTAATGACATTACAAAAATATAATTTGAGGGCTAATGTTATTTTCTTTCTTTTGGAAACATTTTAGGATGTTTTATTTAGCGGGAAATAAGAAATAAAATTGTTTAGTAAAAGAAAGTTATGCTTCGTTTTCGTTCAGGAACAAACTTTTGATTGGGATCAACGTGGAAAATTATCATGGAGGATGGAAAAAGAAATAAAATTATACGAAAGATATTGGGAGAATACGGGGAGAATGAAGAATATTCATTTTTCTAAAAAATTAAGACTTCAAAAATGCGAATTTTTCTTCGACTCACCATTAGTTCGGACAGAAAATTATGAAATGAATGTGGTCCAGCGGAAGCTATTCGGAGTTGGTTACAGATTTATGTTATTAAGCTTTACAAATTCGTATAAAGTGAATACTAGTGGAGAGTGTGCGTTGGCTAGGAAATAGTTGATATCTATTGGGCGAGGAATATTGTCGGGAAGCAAATCGTAAAGTGGGAAGCTTATTAGGGGGCAGTTAAAAAATAAGCCTTCTAGAGTGCCTTCCTCTAGTCCACATTCGCAGAGGGAGTGATCACGTATTTTAATTTTGGCTAGGAAAACCGGGGAGCAAACGCGACCCAGTCTCAGCCGGATAATCATTGATGAACAAGGTTTAGATATGTGTTTGTAGCGGAAGAACCAAGGTTTGCATGGTATATTTGGTTGGAGACAGCCAAAGTGTTTACCTTTTAGTTGGAAAGTTTCGTCCCAGCTTCTGAACAATTTTGGTTTGGCCGAACAACGTAGATCTCGGGAGAAGCAGCCTGAGTGGTCCGGCAAGCCGGATGAGATAGCGTCCTTTGCAAACCTATCTGCAGTTTGATTGCCGCCTATCCCTTTGTGTCCAGGGATCCAGGCTAAGGCTACGTCGATATTAGATAAATGACAGTTAAATAATAGTTCTTTAATTTGGAAGGTGATATGGAAGCTTAGAATAATAACACATAGAATGATAGTTTCATATCAAACGAATTGTCACAAGTGAGGCAAAAATCAAATTCATGTAGGCTAGTTTTAGTAGTAGGCTAATTTTCGGTTTTAGTGAATATTTATATAAAAATACAAGATGAAACGCGTTACTTCCTTGTGGAATGTAATGTTAGTATCTATTTTATGTTTGTCTGACGTATTTTTACATTCATTTACCGCACATTTCGTCATTTTTAGCGAAAATTCTTGATCTGTTCGCGGTGCAAGTTGACCTTGAGCACTGAAGGCCCGCCCGCTCGTGTAGGCCCTTTGGGCGCGCTTCAATTTGCCTCACTTAGCGTGAGCGGACTGGGTTTCTATGCGTTATTATTCTAAGTATGGAAGTTATTTCTTTAGTGGAATAGTAACTTGATAATATCTTGCAGGCAGCTACTTAATCCTCTGATAAAATCTTACATTTTATTTCCTGTGAACTATTTCGTGGGTATTTGTGGAAAATACCCTTACAAATGGTGACTTTATTGACTTTTTGAAGTATACACTTTTTTGTATCAGTTTTTTTGTAACCTCAAGGTAGACTTTTCTTCTCGATTCCATCCACCTTCGCTCTATAAAACGGTGCATTGTTTCATTGATTCAATGTTACTGTAAAAGCCTATTATTAAATTCTATACATGAATTTAAACGTACATTTACTAAGAATTAGGACCATTGTTTTGATTCCTCGAAATTGCCTTATTTAGACATGTGTATTGTTTACCGTTTTTATAGATACGAATATGATGTGTGTCGAAAGGGGAAGTTTGCTAAGACGAGTCAGAGGAGAAGCAGGAAAAACAGTTTTGCTAGATGTGGTCCCGATATTTACTATTAAGTAACGATGGTCTAAATAACATATTAAATTAATTTGTTACACAATAGGATGTATGTACATTATTAGGTCATATAATCCTGAAAACAGGCTAATATATAGTCTAAAACAAATTATTCAAGAATATAATGTTTTTCAACTCAAGCCGACTATAGTTGTCAAATTTGAAAATTGCCCAGTGGTTTATGATCTGTGTCAAATTCACGGATATTATCACGAAGAGTGTGCGATGGAATTGCACGATTTAATTCCGCCTCTTTCCATCATCGGGGGACCAGACGTAGGCTTGGATTCCACCCCTATGTTGTGGATATTCCAAAGATTCGCACGAAGCGTTACGCTTCCACATTTATATGGCGAACGGCTGTCTCTTCAAATGATCTTGGACCTTTTCAAGGCGAGAGTAAATAGGCATTATTTAGGTGTGCAAGCTCCATCGTCGACCTCATCGTCACTTTCCATCAGGTGAGATGGAGGTCAAATGGGCATTTACAGCCACTTAAATTTAATTAAAAAAATTATCTGCCTGTTCTTATTTCATTCCCATTCACGCGGTACGGAATAATGTTTTTTTTTTATAACATCAAGTGACAGGACAAACAAGTCGTGCACCTGATGGTACACACCTGTCCATAACAGTTCCAGGGCCATTCAGAGCTTTAAATTGCAAAGATCTGAAGGGCACTACCACTGCGCCCGTCACCCTGAGACATGAATTTCACCAGCTCCCTTATCCTTCCAAACCGGAACGCAGTAATGCTCACATTACTGCTTGGTGGCAGAAATTATCATGATGGCAGCACTTCCCTGGACGAACACTTTCACAAGGATTTTTAACTGCTGCTACTGCATGTCGTTATGTTACTAATCCTAACAATTTTGAAGAATTAAAAACTGTCGTTCTAATAATTGCCATTTTTTAAATTAATTTTAATTACAGTTACAATTTAAAAATTACTTCACAGATTTGGTTTCGCCAGCTGTCGGCGAGTAGCATAAACATATTCCCATATCAAGTTAACATTGACCTGCTTTTGCCATCTAGCGTCGAATAGCCGAACTCGGTTCTATTTATAAAACTTAACCTTGTTGTCTATGGATTTTGGCACAATGTCACCTAGTGTTGTAGCCATGAAGTGTTGAAATACTATGTGGGCGGAATGTACTTAAAATCGCTGTGAAGAGTAAATATTGATTAACTTACTATTTACGATTAAAGGACTGTTCACAATTGCTATGAATTGATTCACATTACAACATGACGCGTCCGTGGCACGGACTGTAATGTGAGCACTCTCCAGTGTGTCGTACGCGCCCAGTCTTTCTTTTTTTACGATTGTGCGGCACGGATGCCTCAGACACGGCTCGCGCCCGGCATGATATAATGTGAATCATTCTTAATTATTGTAAAATTCTGATATTCAAAATTTAGACCCTTTGATGGTAAATTTGAATTACACATTCCTTCAATGCTAAAATGGAATGGTATCATTATATTGTAATGAATAATATACATAAGGTTGAAGCATTGCATATATTATTTTAAATCCCTTTGATTGTCATATTTCTACTTTTTTAAATACTTCAAGTATTTAACAAAATATACTAATCAAATCAAATTCATTTATTGTTTTCAATGTGATACGTATCTTGATGGTAACGTATACCAATTGGTCCTCCGTGCACATTTCGTCATGTCTGATTTGTAACATTTTTGACATGCAGTACATACAATAATTTAATATAAACAACAATTTAATAACTGCACGCGAAATATAGTATTTCTCTTTCTTTTAAAAAGTTCCCAAATAATTAATTTTTAGCGCCAAATTGGCAATACCATGTTGAATTATCGGCTATTCGAGCTCTAATAGTGCAAACCGCGCTTTGCTCAAGGTCAACTTGTACCACAAGACATTGTTATTAATCACTGTTACATCTCAATCATGTGACCGACTTACATACATCACTACCCGCGAACTTCAGTTTTGACAGTTGTAATGTAACCAGTGGTCATCTAATTTTTTGCCTCCTTGCATTTTGATACCAAAATATAAGTTATTCGTAAGTGCTATTACGTGAACAAGATGAAAATACGAACCTACGCACATCTTGAACGGTGGAATGTGGCCCGCTAGCATATGTGAGTACTCTATAAAAGCATCAAAATACCATTGCAATGTCCTTATTTTTAACTGATTAAAAAAAACTGTAGTCAATTGGCTGTTAACCTTTTAACTAAAGCTAGAGACTAGTAATTTGACGCTATGCCGTGTTTAATTTTATTACGTTTCGGTTCGTCGCCGAATACATTACATTCCCATCTCTAGATTCCTTTTTTAAATTTCGGATTTGGAACTTTATCTAACGTAATTGCCGCGTTATCTTGAATTTAGTGTTAAATATTTTTAAACCAATTGGTTTTCAAAGTTTTTGATAAAAAATAACTGACATTGCACGGGTAGTGTTATTATCTTTTTATTATTTATCAGGTGTTTTTGGCAGTTGTTTAGTGGTCATGCAAATGATAAAATGACACCGTGTTTTGTTTTTCTTTTGTCATAGTGAAAATTTTGCAAGTTATTCAAGGTAATGTTTATTTTTCTGTTTATTTTCTAACTTTAAAAACTTATTAAGTAGGGTATTTGGGTTAGATGTAGACTTATAACAATGTTAAACTACGTGAAAACCAGTCACCATCTGGTATCTTAGAAATTTCCTTTAGCAAAATCCTTACTTAAGTAATTTTGGTGGTTTTAACACATTCAATAATGCAGAATTTAGCCAATAAAAGCTCTTTTTAAAATTTACTTTTTTCCTTCTTATAATTCAGTTTTAAAATATCAATATCATAAGTCCAGAAATATATCTATGTTATCTAAATTTACATAATGAATAATTTCAGTAGGTAGATAAAGAAGAACACAACAACACTAACACCATCCATCCACAAATACCTATTAGTAAAACTCATAGACAAAGTATAGCCATTTCTTTTTATAGGCAAATGATCAAACCGTACAGCCAAAAAATATAAATGATTTTTTTTTCATAGGACAGAATGGGTAATAATTACATTCTCAGAATGTCTAGCATGCTTGCAACTCTGAAATCCATAATTGTCTAAACAAAACAGGTGTTTCTACCAAACTTAATTCAGAAGACTCAACAGGATCAATGATTAATTAAGGGCAAATAAATAGCTGTGTACCTTAGACTTAGAAAAATAAGGATACAAGCAGGCTTGGTCTACAAAATTTATTGCTAAAAACGCTAAAAGAGGAAATTTAAAGGAAGGTTGTAACAAATAATAAAAACATATAAAAAAAAAGGTATAATTATTATAAAACAGTCCCTATAAAACTATAAATATATGCAATATATGCAATATGCAGTATGCAATATTCACCCCAAAAGGGCTTAATCAATGAGAAGTTTAACAAAATTCAAGAATCTGTAAGTCGGGTGCTATGGACACACAATATAGATAACCACAAAGTGCATCGAAACTCACGATACAAATAAATGTAGGCCATACAATTATTTCTCCCGGCCAGGGAACCAAACCCGGGATCTCTGTGTGGCGGTCCAGAATGGTAACCGTTCGGCCACGGAGGAATTAGAGAATAATTCAAAATTTACAACTTAGGTCATGAACCAGAAAAGTGGACGATAAAAAGGTGGAGTGACAGTAAAGGAGCATTATCACAAGTCTTCATTATCTTGGACATGCTGTACCTTGTACTCGTCTCGTGACAATAATTTAGTCTTTAATAATTTTTCTAGAAAGACGCACAAATAACCGCAAAAATTGTTGTTAATATTATAAGAAAATATGCTTCACCATAGACAACAGCACTGTGGCTACGTTATTGAAGAGAAAAAATACAATAATTGTACATCGGAAAAATTTCATATATTTCTTATGATTTCATTTATTGGACGTATTCTAGTCATGCAGTTAAAAGCAAATTGTGGAATTTATTTTTTGGCCCACAGTGTCATCTTCACTGGAATGACCGTCTTTCAATCAAGGTCCAATAAGACCATGATTGGTGTGTGTGTTGATTGTTATGCCTTGGACAGACAAAAAGATAGTTACTCAAGCTAGGAAGCTAGCCCTGAAAACACGTTCCGTGTAAACCAACTTTGATCCTATTTTTAATACTAACTAATCAAATTAAACGACATTCAGTAAAATTAAATTAAAAAATGTATATTGAAAATTGTGCTTTATAAGTCTGCTTTTAAATACATCTTCTGCTTACATCTATTTTAAATACATTGCTGCTTTTTGAGAATAATGCAATCCAAAAAAATTTCCTTTTTGACTTACTACTTATTACTCAGATTTGTTCAGAAAATGTAGGCTTTTCCCAGATTTCAGTAGTTAAAACATCGAGTATATAACCAGAAATAGAGACGAAACATAAATTTAGTATGGATATGCTAAATCTATGAGACGAAATGTCATTTAATTTGTTTGAAAACTATTCTGCCATATCATTACTGTGACAACTGCGCTCCGATTGGCTAGCCCGAGTTCGAAACAATTGACGGGTGTCGTCAATGGGTGTCGTCAACTGTTTCACTTCAAAACGACCAGTTAACTTGAGCTTTGCTATAATGGACGAAAATTGCAAAATTACATATTTAATATTTAATTACCGATGAAATGTGATTCCGTTCGTTTAGTAATTAGGTGTTTTGCTGTTTTTCTCACACCACCGAATAGAACAGCCCGGCTAGAGATATTATCTTTATTACAATAAATAAAGAATATTTTTTGGAATATACGGAGACGTACACACAGGTCAGTAGTTAGCCTGTCTATATTTCAGTCCAAATGAGAGTTGATATTTCTATGAGCTGTATCGCTAATGGGTCATTCCAGCGAAAATGACATCTCGATTCAAAAAAATAAATTACGCAATTTGGTTTTAATTGTATGACTAGAATACGCCCAATAAATCAAATCATTAGAAATAAATGAGATTTTTCGGATATTGTACAATTATTGTATTTTATTCTTCATTAACGCAGCCATAGTGCTGTCGTCTATAGTGAAGCATTTTTTCTTATAATGTTAACAACAATTTTCGCGGTTATTTGTGCGTCTTTCTAAAAAAGTTATTACTATCAAAGAAAATACAATTTATGAATTTTAAAATAGTGATAAGTGTTTGCATGGAAGTATATATGGTGAGGAGTTATTAAAGTTTCAATAAATACTAATTTCAAGTCCCACCCGTCACAATGCAACATATATACTTTTATTTTAACCAATAAATATGCAATCTATAGGCATTTACTTTTGTAAAAGTAACAATTATGCTAAGGGTCATTATTTTGGCTTATTTGGTCATTGTGCACGTAAATAGGAATGTAAATATTAAGATTTGAGAGTGTGTCCCACCCGTCACAGCGAGGATACACTTCTGAACGTTTTTTCTTTGAATAAATGTTTGTGTTTTTATTTTAGTTTTTACGATGTTTACTAGATGTAACAGTTGCTTTAATTTCGGAGTTTAACATTGATGTGTTAAATTGTGACGATTGGGACACCATTTTGTGACAGGTGGGACAAGTTACATTTGAATACATAGAATTTAAAAAAATACACTGTTCATATGTAGATCCATCATTTGCAAGCAAATTATTTATAATTCTTCTCATAATTAAGACGTTATAATACATAAAAAAGACAATTAAAAAGTGACAACATTTTTCTTGATGATTTTTAGTATCAGGAAATTCATGAAAAGTTTGTCTCCACTAGTTTTAATTACATATTCGTGCAAAACTTCTTAAATTCGATATATTTTGATGTGATACATAATCTTCAAGGATGCCGCAGAATTTTGCAAATTTATTAACGCATTTTACATGCGTGATTTTGATTTCGTGTCGTCATAGATAGTGCTTCAATAAAAATAGTGGGATTACCCTATCAGTTCTTTAACTCTGTTTTTTTATGCTAAAAAGTCTTAATAAGACAAATATTATAGAATATTTGCTTACTAACGATGGATCTCATATTAAACAGTGTAATTTTATTAATTCTGTGTATTCAATTGTAAGTCGTCCCACTCGTCACAAAACCATGTCCCACCCGTCACAACTTAACATATTAATTTCCTTAAAATTTATCAAAGTTAATTAAGTGTATATATAAATTAGAACTTTAACATTCAAGTTATCTCACATGAAAAACTTGCTGAACAAAATTTTGATAGTTTGTCTTGATCTTGGCAATGAAGCTATCAACTCAAACAGGCGGCTGTCGTGAGTGTCCCACCCGTCACAATTAGAAAATTAAAAGTTTTTGGTATAAATAATGTTATAAATGTATGTAAATAAATAGTCCCGGTTGAATTGCATATCTGGCTTCATGATATTTTCATTTTAAGTCTAATTAACCAATGAAGAGAAATTACATAAAGTTCAAGAAAAAAGGAGTCAAAATGTCCCACCCGTCACTTTGGAATGGCCCTAATGTGTTACCAGGAATATATGGCCCTAATTTCGTCTCTACTTCTGATTATATACTCGATGAGTTAAAATAATCACATGACTATGTTGGGATGGTCTATGGTATGTCAATTAAGTCAAAATAATTTCTCAGTTTTTTTTTAAACCACCTTGACGAATTAGAGGTTTTTGAGACCGGCCTCTATTGTACAAAGCCACTGATATGTAATTTCAAACTTACACAAGCTCAAAATTTTGTATCCACGCAACAACTTTATGCTAACATTTCAAAGACAATAATTTGGAATTGATTTTGAATTGCCACAACCCTAGGAAAAATAAAAGGTTATCTATGAGAATGACAAGTAATCCCGATACAATAATAATAATGTGCCAGACAATTACATCAATGCCTGATCTGAAAATTCACTCTGGGGCACTTCCTAGAAAAGAACTAATTTAGAAAAAATCATTTCCCGAATTGGTTCCTTAGCGGGAATCGAACCCTGGACTTCATCATCCAGCGCCCACAATATAAACCATTGAGTCACGGAGGCCGTGGATACCAATAAAAATTTTGAGTTTTGAGTTTTGTCACAAGTGCCACCTTCAAGCTCTTTAATATTTTGCATTTCCAACAACTCGCCGAAGACATAAACACTTGGTGCTTCC